AGCTTCACTTTGCATGATACGACCTTTTTTCGAGTTTTTCTATAACTCTTTCTCGTGCCAACTCATCCAGACGATATCTGCGGGATATGATGTATAGAAGGACACCACCACAGTACTTGGTAGCAACTGGCTGATTGACAAAAAAAAATTTCCGTACCTATCAACTGACTCGATTTGCGCGGGTAGTCATATTTCTCGCTTTATTTGAACTATTTCTCCACGAAGAGAAGTTCAGTACGTGTGCACAACCGTCTTAGGTCTGCCAATATACTCCCACACTTTCACCCAGCCCTCAATGTTTAATGTTATATTATTCATCTCTTCCCTAAGTTTTGCACACCAGTGTATTTTTACCGTCAACCGCGCCTTTGAGGCGGTAGGCAGTCCAGGTTCGCTCTTCCTAATAACGCCCGATATGAATTTATCAAAATCACTGTTTGGAGCCTTCTAGATTACCAATATTCGATTACTTTAATGTGTGAGCGGCAGCTAGCCGATTCACAAAATAGAGAATTTGGCCAAACGAGCCTTCAGCATGTTTTCTACTAAAATTCGTCATGGTGACTCAGCAAGATCTTAGACTACCCTATCCTCTTACAAGCAAGAAGACGGGAACAGACACGTCTAGAGGAGGTCAGATACTACTAATGCTGCAAAGTTCAGCTAAAGCAAGAAAACATACTTGGCTCAAACCATCCAAAGCAGCCACAGTTGTTACTGCCTTCTGTAAACGAGAAGACGATTTTTCTGCGGCCTTAATGATCACAGTAGCTTCATGTGACACAATTGAGGTGTCGGGATATTGAAGGTGATTCCAATTCTTACGGGCTAAACCTTCAGACAAGCGAATCCTTTCCCAAACAATCTAAACAAGATAAAATAACGTTTTTTCGCTGAATAGCAATCAAAAGTGGTTGAAAAATCAACCTCTAAAGCAGTCATCGCGATCTTCTCGACACTGCTAAAATATCGGTAGTAAATGAAAAAGCCTCGCTGTTTCATCTGGAATATGCTCTCCGGCGAATATGTGTGCAAGATATCAGGAACCTGTATGTTAATTTACACATACATCCGAAAGCGTTCTGATGGTTTATACATACAAGCTTTTGCAATTAACCTACTAATAGTACATTGTCTTCAGGGACAATGACAGCAGCGGTTGACCAGTCAATAATTTCATCGAATGGCAAAACCCAGTCGTCCGAGAGCACGACAGGTATACAACCCAACCGTAGGGCTTCGAGAAACCTGAAGCACAGCTCGAGTTTTTCAAGAAAAGATGATGGGATCAGAAATAGATGAACATAAATCATAAATCAGAGAATACAAAAAAATTCAAGGAGCCGTTATGGCGAGAGCAGGTCATGATAGCAAACCGCAGCCTGTTCAACCTTCCGCCATAAGAGCACTGAACTCGGCTCTTGGTTCGCCTTGTCAGTGCGAAAAAAAGCAACTTTATGCTATGCCCATTCTATCCAGTTCTATTAATCTATTACCTATTCGTTCCATTTTGTAAATTCTATTGAGATAAATTTGTTGTTAACTTCAAACATTGATGTGTCATCCTGACGAGAGAAAATAAAATAAAAGTAAGTAAAGCGAGAAGAAAACACGCTACTGAAATTGCTGAAGTTACATTATGGATAATTTCCAGATTGCAGTCCAGCAAAAAAAATTAGCTTTCTTATGCAATTAATCCAAAATCCGGCCTTCTGTCCACACAAAAAAGGCGACTAAACTGAATAGCTACCCTGGTATTTCGAATTGATTATTGCCTTGCTTACTTTGGCGCTGCTTCATACTTTCTTACCACGACTTCACAATCTAGGATCGATTGCACTCAATGGATTTCATTCATTTGCGTAGGAACCACAGACAATGTGACGCTAACATGACCATGCGCTAGAGGCAGCTTGAAATTAAGATGCACCTTCTTGTGCTGCATGAACATCATAAAGAGCCCGATAAAAAACATTTCCAAAGCAACCAGACCTGAACGATCCTAGTCGTCGTCCTCGTGGTGTCAGACAGAAGGTCGAGTTGACCATCATCATCTCGTAGTCCCATCTATAAGCAACATGGATATCAAAAAGAGTACTGCATGAGCTGAAATACAGTAAATGAGAAGCAAGCACTTTGGCGTACTTGTCATAAGCTTCATTATCGCTTTCACATCTTGCATCTTGGTGTGCCTAAAAAGTAAATACAATATTCGAGTCAAATACAGTTTCGATAGCCGCGAAACAATACATGAACTCATTTGACAAACTTTTCATCATGCAGAAGTATTGAAAAAGCCAAAACTCATTTTTTTTTGAAATCACCGTTCTTTTCGAAGAAAAACATATTAATCATATATTCGTTATTCTAACTCATACAAAAGAATGAAGATGGGAAAAGCGTGCCAAACTTAGGAAATTCAATTTGTTTGTTATATTAGGCCATCCCATTTAAAAACGCAAACATCTGCTGGGATGGAAGGGAAAGGAAATACGCCAGCCCCATCGTCATGGTTCCATAGGAGGCAAGTATAGTCTGTTAAGTCAGTGCCCAATTTGTCATCATGGTTGCAAAAGAAAGGATACAAAACTGAAAGGAATCACGAGCAATTGAAATAATGGAGAGTTCTGAAATGGGGCGTCGTGCGAGGAAAACCGGCAGCTCATCATGAATTGGATCATCATTTGGAACGGCGGCGTTTCCGAAGCGTGACGTTGAAAAATCGGGGCATGTGTTTAAGGATTAAAACGAGCACCAGAAAAGCTGAGGTAATGCCAATAATAATTACCCTGCCCGTGCAGACTAATTGTAAGTAGAAGAAATCAAGCGCCAAGTGGCAAAACGAGAGACGAAAACTTTGTCGAACCTCTCGCGAGAACGATATTTCCGCTGAGGCCATTAGGAGATTTGTGGTCAAAAAATCGAAGGCGGCCACGGAGACGTGTGTGTAGGTACCTCAGTTTATTTTAAAAGCAGGAATTCAAAATCGAAATGATGCCTGCAGTACCAGTCATCTTCGTCTCCGAAGTCACCCGTCATTTCGAAACGAACACTGGCTACAGGCGATACATAGGTGGTCTCGCACAGTGAGCACAAACACCACAAGTATTGGGTTAGAGTGACTGTAGACCCAACCCCTTGTTAACTTTGCTAAATCATAGCACCTACGTTCCGTTCTGCGACAAGTCTGCGTCGGAAAGCATAAGTCCGCGTCAAAACCCAGGTGCTATGAATACGCCGACTGGTCGGTCTCCGAAACAGGCCCAAGCAGCTTCTTATCTGTGACTCGCTCGAGAAAGAGACCTGCTTGGTGCTCAGATACTACATGGACAGGGGGAAGTGCCGCTGAAACTGTTTCATCAAACACTAGGGATATTAACTGCTATCCCCCTTGCTGCTCAATTTAATCAAGAAAAGACCGCGTACTTTTGACTGAGATGATCAAAAAATTGTAAGACGATTTAAGGGAATACCTTCCAGTCATTATTATGCCGGCATGTTGTCACCATAGCTACTGTCTCACCATTATGTAGATGATGTAGAGAATCTCGAGTCTCAGAACCAATGCCTACGGTACAGGTAAAGATCAAATTATGAGCACGTAAAGTTGTAAACAGAATTTGAACTACTCACCGTAAACATAGCGCTTGCCCTTGAATGACACTATATATTGGTCGTGAGTTTTAAAGGAAACATCTTGCTGAAAATGGAATATGGTAAAGTGAAATATGAATACAGAAACTATTTGGAAAAGCTGGCTATTGGCTACGGTACACTATTCTATTTGAAAATATCAATAAAAACAAAAATAACATGAAAGGAGACTGCAGAACAAGGAATTTAAAAGTACCTCGATAGCGCTTCTCAAAGGATGCTCTTTGTGAAAAAGAGGAAACGATATATCAAAATCAAAGCGGTAGTTCTGAAATTGGCAACTTTAATTCAGTGGAGCTAAAAAAAAACAAGTTTTACCTGCAAGCTAGGTGAAGCGCGAGCAATCATTGCTTTTTTTGTGGCAAAGCCCAGATTGTGATCCGAGTAGTCAGGAAATGTCCCATGGTACAGATTGAAAATAATGTGGTTTAATCCGTCGTTCCATACCTCAGCAGGTAGATTGCTTATGTAGCGATCCACATCTTGTACATAATTTTCACTGTAAGAATATATGGTGTTGGTTTCAAAGGAGAACTATTTTAGCAGTGGTTTAAAAACTCAACTGTACAAAAAAAAANAAAAAAAAACGTAAAAACATGATTTGCATTCACCTGATTTTATCCCTATCAATCGTATCCACGCTGATAATATACAGACATGCATCTTTAGGATCGGAGACAAAATACTGACTTAAAGAAAGGAGCCTTTCAGATAATGACCAGTCTTAACTCTAGCTCAGGACTCACCTTTCTCGAATTGCTGTGAGAATTTTCCGATAGACTTCTGATGGGGGCAATTCTTCTATGTCGGGGTATACAAAGACCTTCAACTTCGAAGAACACTTGGTATAGTCGAAGCATGAATGCATAGCACACTCGCTTGGGCTGAATGACAAACTATCAGCCTTTCATCATTCACAGGAACATAAAAGCCTCCTTCTGTGATACGAGCCCCACCACTAACTTACCCTTCCATCTGAAGCAGAACCTCTTCATATTGCGAGCCTTCGGAAAATGATATCGGACTCTCATCGCGCGTGCTGTCGCCTGAGAAGTCTCTGAGAAAGAGCCATCCATATACAAATACACCGAGGAATAGAAGCGCATAGCGAGCCCACGTTCTCATGGCCCTAACTCCATATCTGCAAAAGAAATCTCACCTATTCAAAAGTAAACGTTTCTAAATCTTGATAGGTTATAATAAAGGCCTTTCTTCGGACTCGGAACGCAAAAGATATTTTGTACCCGCACTTGCTGCTCTGCGATACATCGGATTTGAAATAAATTACAGCGCGCGGAGATTTGGACGCACACTGTGTGCGCCAATGAACCCGCCGCCTGGTCCGCAGACGGGGGCGATTGGGTGAGGCTTCCTTCTCATTCTTGCGCGAAACGAAAAGAAATATTTCGTTTTCAAGGCAGTGAACATAATCGGGACATCACAAAGGGTTCCAGTAAGTCAGGCATCATCCATTAATGAGGCGAACGTCAAGAGAGCGATCTTAAAGCGGAGCTGTCATCGCATAAAGAATCTGATTGTGCCAGGGTTCGCCCCAAGGCAGGAACTAGACGCTAGCATCCTCGGTCCATGTAGCCCGTCGTTTCCTCAAAAAGACCCCGATGATATTGTCGAGCCTTGAAAGCATCTCATGATACATGGTGTTATAACATAGTGTTACGGCTACGAAAGGCTACGCTTACACTTTCTCTCTCTCTACTGCAAGTCCACCCGGACTTCAGAAATGAATAAAAGGCTTAGGAGAACTGTTCCATTAGATTGTGTATATTGTGTAGGGAAGGGGGGTTGGGGTGTTCAGAGGTAAATATTCATTGGGATGTTAGGCGGCGGCATTTAGCGAGTCGGCTCAGTCGAGTATGTGTGCCCACGTTGAATTAGCGCCTAATCCGAATGTCCCATGATAAACTTGTACCATTTCACTCAGACAGTGCCTTGTCGCGGAATGAGTAGGCGGTTGTCGTCGAAGAGCTAGGCTGAATCTGGAGTAAAGTGAGGCAGTAAGGATAATGAAGACGTCCATCAGCCGTCCTTGAACAGAATCGATTGCTGCCGACTCGATTTCGCTTTGGACCATGCGGCCTCTGAGCTGTCATATTTCTCCCTGTGACGATGCCCGACCGTGTTAGAATGGAATTTGCTTATGGCCTACTGGGCCTCGTCCGAAATGTTTATGAACATGAAGGGCACGCCAGGCATCGCGAAGCGCTTACAATCCAGCAGGAGGGTGCGGTGGTCGCTGGTTTCTCACTGACCAGCGTTTCTGAATAAGCTATACTGTTGGCGGCTCCTCTAGCCTCTCCATTGCGCCGAAGCTCCGCTCTGAAAGAGGAAGACGAATCATCAAGAAAATATTTCGAGACTGCACCTCACATCCCTTACGGCGCGTTTTGGAAACGGGCAGCTAATAAAAAGTGCGGACTCTGGGGTTTCGGAAGCCACTTTGCCTATAGTCGTCTGAAAGGGGTGCAGGAATGGGTTATGCCTGCTGTAGAGTTACGCGGAGGCTGTCTCGTACATATGACAGAGGGGCGAAGAACTCTGAACTTTATGAGAACCATATGTCAAAGAGCAGCGTATCCTTAATGGTAAATGAACTCGCACTCCTCTTTCTCAGCGTCTGACACATCGGGGAGCAGCTCGAGATGGGCGAGATAGTCTTTTGGCTAGAAGAGCTGTCGGTTGTCTTGGAAGTCGACCCAAATGATACGTTCGCCGAGGTCCTGCTGTTAGAAGTCGAGACTGAGTGTCTTCTAGATTCCACTCAAACCCGCGGATCTAGGAGTGCAGTTGTCGGCTAGGCAGAGTCTGAGATAGGGTGGTGGGGGCTGCGAAAGTCGTCCAAGATACCAAGGTGCCCGTTAACTGTGCTATGGTAACATTCGTGGAAATTGTAACGCTGGCCGTAGTGTCAAAAGTGTGTGAGATGAGAGACTTCGTTGAAAGCTCCGATTATAGTATAGCCGCTGCCGACTATGGGTTGGTTGGAGATCTGAGGCGAATAGCTTCTCTCTGATCTGGCGTCAGGGCCAATAGACCGAGAAGGTCCAACCATCGCGGGGCAAGTTTGCGAGGTTACTCAAAGGCGGGGATGGCCCTGCGTCGGGTGCTGAACGACCGAAAATGAGATCGATTAGTAAGTTAGCGGATCAAGGCTGTTCGCTGGTTAGCGAATTTGCAAGCGAGATACCAAGTCGTAAATGGTGTCTGCGGCAGTCGAAGTCTTGACTAGGCGGATGTAGACACACTTGTACACATCGATACCAGGAGGGTAAACGCGCGAAGGAGAGCTAGATTAGACCAACTAAAGTCTCAACGATAGCGTTTAGCCTAACAGGAGACTCGAGCGCGACATTCACGACTTTGACTCGAACCAAATCATCCGAGCCCACGGCCCAGATTACGGCTTGGTGGTGGGACTCCATCCAGTCTCTGATGCCATGGTGTAAAGAGAGAAATTCATTGGCATAGGAAACTACTGTGGTCAAACAATCATGGTCTGGACAACTGTTGGAGCGACAGAAATCGTCGATCGAATTGAATGCAACCAGTGCAGAGTAACCGGTATTGTAAAGCATTCGAGGCAGCAGAACGTCGACATAACTAATAAAAGCCCTAGGCAGTCTTCGAAGAAGGCGCGTGGGTAGGTAACTTCAAGCATGGCATCTCAGGGGAAAGCATTACCCCGTTGGGGTGCATGGGTTAAAGACGGCAAACTAAGGCAGCTAATTGCTTGCGAGCCTCGTGGGAAGCGAGGGGTTCGGGAAAAGGACACAAACACGGCGTTCACGCTATAACGAGCTGAAGTGATTTCATATTGCGATAGCTGATTAAGTGGAAATTTTTTGAAAAGCCCTTGGTTTAAGAGGGTACGTTGATGGAAATTCAGGCTCCTGTGCCACTCGTGGCGAGTAGTTCTTCAATCTTGAAGCAAAACTGTGTTGTCTAGGGTTGTAGAGGAGCACCATGTATAGGGTGCGCGGTTTGCGAACAACGTGTGTGCTTCACACATCTTTTAGGTTTTAACATCAACGATGAGTTCCTCGCAGGTACCTTATGCATCTCTGGCACCATTCTGCTGAATGTTTCTTGAATTCAATCTAAAACACAGTCATACAATCAACGTGCAGTTCCGTTCTTCCTTGAATATGTGCGACAAGCGCAAATGAAAGCAGAAGTAACGGGTTTGCCAGACGAATATCAGAAAAGGTTTTGAAAGCCTCTTATAAAACGAAAGAAACATGCAAAAATCTCGACGGTCACGAAAAGCAAACCCGCCGCTTTTCTCCTATGAGGTGAGACGCTTCATATGGAAGCGACGGGTTCGTATTTCCAATCGACACTGCTGTTAGGCGGATTTCGAGTCCCATAACTTCTTAGGAAAGCCATTTCGCAGTTAATCCTTATATTCGTAAATTTCATTCAAAACTATAACGATTGATATGGGTCTCCATTCAAAGTTCCATGGTAAGTAGACTACCCCTCCCTGGTTAGGCATTATATCACCCTCTAGACCTCTTCTATGAATCCCATTCTATCGGTTCATCGTTGCCTGGCCCACCATTCGAATCGTCAGTGGACTAAACTCTGCGTCTTTGGAGACGCTTCTAAATGTCTGCACCTTTCTTGTACCTACCTCTTTATCGTAGTCATTCGTCTACGACTGTCCATCTTCTCATGACTACGTCCTTTTTGGACCGCGTAAGCCGATTACTATGCATCGCATGGAACTCCTAGCCGCTCTTGTCATTCTTGTCATTTGGCGATTGGTCCAATTTGTTCATACGCAACATAGTCTCAATATCTCTGCATGCACATGTTTTAGGACTCGCAGATGGATCTTTATTGGATACATTCGACGCGTGTACTGCGAACGTATGTCAGGAGCAGGATGAATGAGATCCACCCATCGTAGAGGAATTTTGCGTCCTCGCGTCCCCTTAATACTCCGCTTCAATTTTGCTACGTTCATTCTCATGACAATCCTGCCGACTGTGCGTCTGTCACTTCCACATTTAGGGGTCAGGACCTTAATTTCTCACAGCCTACGTCACATTGACCCGGAAGTCAGGACTTCGCAACACCGCCGCGAATGACAACGAAGTACAGGGTGAGTACCAGACGCGCGCGATCTTCAGCTTCCTACAGTAACGTCACCATTTCTTCGAACCATTAGTCGGTACTAGACCAGTTCAATTTACAGTCTACTCATTGAAACTGTCGCATACCTGGCCGTCAAGATCAGAGCTGCTGTCTGTAGCTTTGATGTGACTCAGTTCAACTTGACTAAGGATAGACTAGGGATATCTCCACTTCAGAACTCACTATTGCTGAGCTACTTCTCACCAAAGACACTACGGGAGTGCGAAACCATTTTGCTTCGTATGCTTCTCCACCGCTTCAACACAGATCGTTGAACTGATGGAATTATTCGCTGCTGTCAGTGATTCAAAAGGCCGCGGCCACCCCCAACTACGTTTTCAGCACAATCACCTAACTAACGCAACAATTTTCTCAACATTATTTAGTGTAAGCCTCCTTTCCCTCCATCGATAGCCTACTTGAATTTACTGCTTATCAGAAGTCGATGAGTCACGTGATCGATCGACTGCGGCGCTGCGCTTTCGATAGCCATCATGCTTTTGCGCCAACGTTTGAATTTTGAATTAAGGATCCTTATGCTACAGATTGTTTTCATTTATCATCCACTCGCAGTTGGAGTTCCGCTCTCTCCTTTCGCTGTTTACCGATTACGATCTCATAATCTTACATCCGTGTTCTGCTGCTAAGTTTTCAATTCAAACTAGCAGGGCAAATATACCACCTTAGTCTACGACAGTCTCGGACATATAAACAGCATCGAAACCCTCTCGATCGACCACCACTTCAACTTCGCCAAGGCAAGTACGACATTCTGCTACATCGTTGTCAGTTTCTTGTTCTTTATCATCTGCACTACTCGAGGCTTTGGCTCTTTGTTGTCGTCGGCTATTGCCTAGTTGGAAGGAATCTTGCATATTGACTCGCCAAGATGTTCTACCCACGACGTGTGGTCCCCTGGAAACCTGCTCCACCTCGTCACCCCAGTCGCTTTCCAGCTCCACAAGAGATCATTTCTGAGTATGCGAAAGGCAACTTCGACTTTCCTAATACATACTTTTTTCGCCTCAAGCGACATTTCCAGGGACCGAAGCCTCTCGTCATCGGAGCGACTGTCCCTACAGATCGCCCAGTCGTTGACTATCGCAGCCAACTTTGAAGATATCTTCAGCCTCGATCAATTGGCTGCAAGAGATCTCGTCGAAGTAGACGCCTTCTTCGTCACCCTTCTACAGAATCGTTCGTGGTTGGACTGTTGAGGCGACCTTCGTCCCACTCTAGCAGAACTCGACTACCCGCGCACGAAACATCAACAACAAAACAATATTCCATCTGTATCGCGAATGCGAAAATCGCTCCGAGGAATCATGGGCGCGTTGGCGCCTGCAGGTAACTGTCGCCATGAAACCGTGCGCTCTACCCGTGATCGTGCGGCAACGCACACTGCAATCACGGACGCCCAGCGTTAAAGCTCGTTCGATCGTCTTGTGCTGTCGTGCTGGCAGCGGACCCGCAGGGCGGGAGCCCTTAAAACTCACTTATTTTTAGATTGTGCCTTATATACCAATATAACGACGGCCTACGCATATTAAATTATTCCAAATAGAGCTGGTCGAGCGGTGGGTAAGTGGAAACGACCCGACGTGAGTAGTTGTTTTATTATTAACCGTTTCGAATTTTAAACTGAGAAGTGGAAAAGTAAAAAGGTGATCAGTGATGTGGTTAGCCCATTTCATGTTCGTTCTTGTTCTGTAAAGGTGATCACCCAGATCTATTTACTCGTTACTAACATCCGCGATAGTCCGCATTGTGAATCAGGGGCTTGATATTTTGTCATTCAAATCATCAAGCCCAGCTTCGCTCACTGTGTACCATCGATTCACAACAATCTTTCACATTGTACCGTCCTTCAAAGTCTCCATATATCCAACCGGAAAGTGAAGCAATTAACGAACAACTTTGCAGAAGGTTCCGGATTTTGGAAATCAGAGCCGAAGCTCGTGCAGCTTCTGCAGAAATATCTCACAGTACTTTACAATATCCGAACACACAGAAACACCCTCATCGAACTTATTATCCCTCATGTCCTCAATCCCAACAAAAAAGAATTATGGTTCGTCGATACTCCAAAGTACTACTCGGTCACTTCAGCGGATGGATACGAACTGCATTGTGCCAACGCTTCAGCAGGGATAACCACAGCAATTGTCAATCTCTAGAAGATCAATTTTGCAATGGCACGTCTTCATGACATTCCACGTCGCAGTTGTCGCCCACACAAACTACGAAATTTCATTTCATTTTTTCAAGGAAAATTCATCGGGCAGCTACCTCACCTGTTAGCTTATTGTCGTCAGTTATAACACTGCACCGACGTTTTACACGAACCACTACTACAACGTCAGCCGCTTCTATTCGAAATGTTCCTATCCCTTATACGCAGAAACAGCAACTGACCGTCTAGAGCTCGTTCACAATCGACGGATTCGGAGATAGTGACGCAGTCGCGAAGAAGCCGTTATTGCCACTCCATTACTGCTCGGTCGGATTCCTGTAGACGCAGACCATCCCGCAACCCTGTCAGCAGGAGTGATCGTGTACCTATTACGTGTACCTTCTGCCACTGACAGCATTACTCCACTGATTGCGCCGCCATCACAAGCCTCAGTCTAGAGCTCTGCTTGCTGTTTGTATTCTACAAGCTTTTCACCTGCGCCATCCTGAACAGAATTGGCACGATGTTAAACAAAGGACAGCCATGCGAACAAACAGGGTTTCGAAGAGGGTTCAGCGCAATCGATCACACTCACATTCTAACAAGAATCACCGAAGTATCGCGAAAATACAAAATGACGTTAGGTCTTACGTTCATCGATTTGGAGAAGGCCTTTGATACCGTTGAGACAGAAGCGGTAATTGAAGCCCTGGCAACCAGGGTGTTCCTACTTAATATATAAGGATGCCTCGTGAGCCCTACGACAATTTCACGACCAGGATTTCATCATTCTACATGGAGGTCATTATGTACGTGAAGAGAGGTGTCCGGCAGAGCGATACCAAATCGCCCAAACTTTTCAGTGCCGCTCTCGAGAACATCATGCGTCATTTGGAATGGGAAGACTTGGGAGTGAAGGTGGACGACCACTACTCACCTCCGCTTTGCATACGACATCGTGCTTATAACACCAAACATCGAGCAGGCGGAACGAGTGTTAGCCGAGTTTGACAGTGCTCGTGGAAAGATAGGTTTGAGACTGAACTTAACGAAGAAGAAGAAAGAATTCAACATGATGAACGACCCAGCTCTGGAGCTGTGCAGAAGGAAACGCACGGCGTGGGGAGCATTCAAAATATCGAGGGAGCGGTGAAGAAAACAAAGAACATCCGGCTCCATGCTCACCTTTTGACACTGCTGCCCTTCCTGCTTTGACGTACTCCTCGGAGACTTGGACTCTACGGAAGCAGGATGAGCATGCTGTCAGCATGACTCAACGCGCTTTGGAAAGAACGATGCTCGGGATTTCTCTATAAACGCAAGTGCAAAAGGGAATCCGGAGTTCTAGCTCCGTCATCGAACGATGATCGTGGATGCCGTTGATTACGCCAAGAAATCGAAAATCAGGTGGGTCCGACACGTTACGCGATATAGTGATTACCGTTGAACCAGGGCGGCTACTGGCTGGATCCCTCGGAACGTCAGGTGAACACCAGGACCGCCGCCATCGCAATGGTCACACATTTTCACAAAAGCTCTGAACGAAAGGGATGTTGGACCTCGTGTCCCTGTAACGAGGACGATTCACTGGACCACTCTGGCTCGTGACAGGGACGAATTGAGACGTTCCCGCCACCCGTTCGAGGAAGTCGATGATCAACGGGACGGCGAGTGATACAGGTGATCTAATCAAATTTTTCTACGGCTTGCAAACTTTATTATGCTTGTCTACGCTAAGGACTTCAGTGCAATAAGTATAAACAAATAATTCCCTACAAGTGCCGAATCAACTATGAATGAAAACAAATACCAAACAATCTGAAAAAATCTGAAAATAACACAGATCACACTCGGCTCAAAGAGTACGGCTCGAAATACAGTTTACACAACAACAACGCAAACTTGAGATTTCGAAATGAAAGATGAAAGCTGGCAAGTATTATCTTCACAACAAATCATAACTCGAACAATAACACATGATAAAGCACAACTATGAATACAAAAAAACGATGGCAGTTTCACCGTCGTGATCGCCACTCCCAGTCCTCTGGCAGATCACCTCGTTTTGCTACACTGTTCGGGTCTGTAGAAAGCAGTAAACGACAGTTTTGAGGTATAAACAAGAGATAGAAACGACGTTAACACACCTTTCATTTCATGCTGACAAGTGGGACCAAGATACCCTGGAGCACAGCTGCATTTGCCCGTTTTTCTATTACATGAGGCGCCATTGTAGCAATGACATTTATGCATGCAATTCTGCCCATATCTTCCTTGCCGACAAACTGAAAGCACAACACTTCAATAGAATGGCAGTGAAAAAGTTGTCTGGTAAGAAAAATTGAAGTCAACGATTTTAAGAGAGCTTTTGAAATGGATAACTTTGGAATCGATCAAAAGTGATTGAAATAATCCTCACCTTGCTGACACTTCGGACCACTCAACCCAACAGGGCATGAGCAGGTGCCGTCTTTTGGATCACAAGGGTAATCACCACAATCGCACTTCAGTTGGCAGTGGGGTCCATAAGTATTGTTTTTACAGGACGATTCACACTGAAACGGAACTTACATAAAGCACATAAAGCACACCTTCCTGAAAAGCCTGTTCTTACTACTTTTTGACCGGATATATAATACTTTTTGCTCATTGGTGTCGTGAGACGCTTCAATACAAATTAATGCGCAGCCCGTGATAAGCACATATCATATAATGCACATTTTTCTGAGGGCATGTAGCCGAATCCAAGTACCTTCATACCCCGCGCGTTAATGATTTGCTTTGTTTTTATCAAGTTTCTCCCTCAGTGGTTTCAGCATCAAAGTTGGCTTTTATCGCCAACTGTTGAAATGTACTTCCTGTTAATACCTCGTACCTACTACTTCAGCAGTTGGCTACTGTAATTGGGCGCTGGAAGAGGAGCCTTCCCGTGAGTTTCTGCAACAGTCCAGAACGACGAGCGGACGCAGTACGACACACCGCATAGCTTTTTTGCTTATTTTTGTTTTTAACGGAGATGGTGCACGAAATACGCGTGACCGTACCGGAATATTTTTAACACTGCTTTCGTACTCACCACTATTTATGCACTTCGATTACATCAAATAGTGATGCAGAAGCCTTACACACTATTGCCGTGGAGGCTGGTCATTAACCAGTTCCCTACATTTCCTCAATAGTTCCACAAATATTAGCGGACAATCTACTACTGAATCTAGGTGCGAACAGCCTGGCCAGCTGAACTACTGAATTACGTCAGATCTTCCTCACGATGTAAGCTGGTGAACTGGATAAAATTGAAAACACTACCTGAACACGCTAAGTGCCTGTTGTTTTGTGCGCTTGCGTGTGTTTGTGTGTGGACGTGTGGGTGTGTGTGTGATTTATAACTCCTGTTCTCGTGAGGCCAGAGCGTTTGAACTTGGTAGGATTACAGGAGGCAAAATGGGAACGCCAATAGTAGGTGGCAGGGCTGGACTCCATCTACAAGGGGCGGGGCGAGCGCGAGAAATTTGTTTTATTTATTTGTTTATTTAAATACATCTCAAGTGTGTGCCATTAATCACAGAAATGCGCGTCCTAAATTCATAACTCTCGATCCTGTGTACCTAGAGCCTTCAAACTGAAAGTAGTACAATAGGCAGGTTGAGACGCTCAAGGCAGATGGATAGTGGAATGTCTATCAAAGGAGCGAAATTCGAGTAAAATAAAAAATAAATAATAGTAACAAGTAAATAAAAATACGAAGTTGCACTGGAATAAGTAGAGAATCGAGTTAGCTACTTGAATACTAAGATCTTGAGCACAACTCCGCTCATTGTGGGCGGGGTGCGCATGAAGGATATCGGTGCGCGTATGGGTGTGTTTAGGCCGGAAAACGATAACACTAGTTCACTCGGGCCAGGGATGTCTTGGACTCCACCAACGTGATTGCTTCCACCAACAGACCGACTGACCAACGGCGTTCCTGGCTACGGCTTGAGAACACTGGACACCGATGGATCACACACCCTCACGACTCAAGCGGCCCTGAACACAATCTGTCCTGCACCCCATGCGGTCAATATGAAAGGGGGCAAATGGAGGAGAGCCTGGCGTGAGCTGGACAACCCGACAGGTATATCTATATAATAGGATATTTCTTGGCTGTATTTTGAAAACTGAAGTTTAATAAACAATAATCTGTAAACCTATTTATATTCACTACAAATCTTATACTCAAATGAACATTCCACGATAGTATCATAGGATATGGGTAGTGTAATGTGAAGGTGCCGGTGCAGGTAGAAGAGAGAAAGTCTTTTCTCTGCAATTGTTTAAAAAATGTCATTTGCATGCTCCAAATTTGATGCAAGTTACCATCAACAGCCTAGGTCGAAAAGGAGTAAGATTAGGCCACGACGACATATCCTGATGACAGTCAACTGTTTTGAAAACAACACTGGTTCTTCTCAACAGGAAGACTACCGATAGAGGAGTTCCCGTCGGAGCATGGGGTGACAATGTTTTTTCTTGGCCCACTTTCGCTGCATTACGTCTCTCTAGAAATTTCTCCTGAGTATTGAAGCAAGATTACCGTGGAATGTGCGTTGAACGGGAATATTTTGCTTGATAGCGGAACAAAAGAAGTACATTATTTCTACTTCACAAAATTAACTTCAGACATACTTTGCTTTCGAAGAAATATCTAGAAACTGACATGATCGCCTTCAAAGCCGGGAGGACACAGACACTGCCCGTCCCCCGGTTCGCAGGATGCGCCATTTTGGCAGGAACACGATTGACTGCAGTACCAACCATAAAAGCCAGCAGGGCAGACTAGAATAAACTGATGCAATGTACCGATTCGGAAGCTTCCATAGAATTGATGTAGCATACCGAATTGACATCTAGTTCCGTATCGACCAGGCGGACAGTCGCAGCATCCCTGGACAGGGTCACATCTAAATGTTATGAAGTAGAGATACTCATTTACCTCGTTGCAAATTGACAAACAACAAATGCAACCGTTGCTGACCGAGCATTTCCATGGCATTCACAGTCCAGCGTACAATTCAAACCATATTTTCCTGAGGGACAGCTTTGTTCACATGTTTTCCCAGTGTACCCAAGATTGCATCTGAAATGTAGCACTGAGATAGCGATTCTACCTAAACATTTACGGCAACATTCAATCAGTGCCGTCTTTTAACCTTCCAGAATTTCACTCCTTCCTAAAACTGCTTAAAGGAAGTGATGTTTTTTACTTATTCATCGAAGAAGCAGACAGAAGTCGACGAGAGCAGTTTGAATAAGCAGTTGGAATGAAAAGAGCAATCAAAACACTGAGATGTGTCACATTAAACTTGAGCTGACGCACAGGAAAAAAAGGAAAAAGAGGCTATTGAGATACTGTGCGTTGCCACTATACCGTTTCCCCTCAATTTGCATTCACAAAGACAGAAAGGTCCAGCGATCATGTCTTCCAGTTATGATGCTATTATTATTCAAGAGCACAATTATCATTCAAAGCTCTAATTGATTTGTCACACTCACTTGCTCCTTATGAAAAAATCGCACTGCCGATGGACACAAAGAAGAAAAAAAATTAAATCCTCGATGCATGATTGTCGATAATGTGAAGCGCAACAATATCATTGTCGCTCGATACCGTAAACGTGAGCATCAGCAGGCACTGGCTACCAATAGCATTGGCCGTTGTTGTAAAATTCCCCTCCTTAACGGCCCTGTGACAAAATTTAGTGTGTGCGCAGTTTCGGCACGTCCGTTCAGATTTTTTGTGATCAGAACAGTATAAGTCGGAGGTCTCGAGTGGCTGCTTCCATAGTCCACCGGCCGGCGTACCGGCGTGCGGACTGTGAAAGCAGCCACTCGAGACCTCCGACTTATACTAGCACTGCCTCGCCTGGCACGTCGGCCGGCCGGCGGGCGAACTATGAAAGCAGCAAGTGATGCCACCTGCCTCTGAGTTTTTCCCTAGTCTTCGCGAAACCTAACTTTTAATCATGCTGGAAAATGTTTGCTACTTCCGGAAAAAAACTATCAAGAACTCGTTTTGAGTACATCCCTTTTAGTCCACAATTACCCTTTACCCTCTAGAAGAGTTGGAACTGGTTAATGGAGAACTAACGTCAAATAAATTAATGCCAAGAAATTAAAACAAATGCTGAGTGAATTTTATAAAGAATTCCTTATCATTATCATGGTGTATCACTTCGATCCATATCTCATTCAAATCAAGAGATGTTCCGTAATATTTCCGTCTTCGCGATCATGAAAACGTTTTCGGTTATCTATTAAATGAAGCGTGAAGTCCTAGGTCTCTGAACCTGCACTAATATGTATTCTCACATCTACATTTGGATAACTGTGCACAGCTGCGTTTCCAGCTATCGAGACTCAGAGAGCATGCTTCAGTATTAGAATTCTTACCTGCATTCCCCAGTTGCGGGATCGCAGTGAGCTCCATTGGCGCAACGACACTTGTCTTTACACCCAGGGCCCCAACGGCCTTCAGGACATACTATAAATGTGTAAAATTGGAAAGATAGGAGACGCTGATATTAAAAGTTGACGTCTACGCAACTGGTGCCCTGCAGAATTGCTTCTCATGAAAACGTCCCTCTCTAATGGTAGAAAATTCAAATAATCTGCTACATGCTGAGCTAAGCTAAAAATGAAGAAACGTGGCTAGAACGATGAGTAAAACTCTCCTAGCTAGTTCGCACATTCCGAAAGGATCAAACCACACCCAAGTTGAAGCACCCATAATGATCTACATATTTCTGTGTAGGTGTGTTTGCAATGCAGTGCGGTTTCAAGATTGACTACCAACACATAATTCCCATTCACTTGAAGCAGGCCAGCGTATCGAGCGCTGTACGAAATGTTACGAAAACTCACCTTGATTGCAAGACAAACCAGTGAATCCAGGAGGGCACTTGCATTGACCTGTGAGACGATCACATATACCACCATTTTCGCATACGCACAATTTCTCGCAGCTGAAACCTCCTCATGAGGAAGGATAATGTAACGTTATGTCTAAAAATATACAACGACTATTTAGAAAGGAAAATTCTCAAATCAGGTAATGCTAAGGTCCTTCACAGGTATTTGAGCAGAAGAATCAAGGGCTTCAAGCAAATCGGTTGTCTGAGAAAAGATCAAATTGTTACATTTTCTCCAGTAGGTAGAGCCAATATGTTAGCGGATCACTTCGAAAGCGTCTTCCAGGAAGATGTTGGAAATGTACCTGATCGGCTTTCGCTTTCTGTCGAACTAATGAAGGAGGTTCCGCTATTCATCGCCTCTGAGCCATGAGATATTCATGAAATGGCCTGTTTCTTCCTCAGTCACCCCCGACTTTGTGTCATTTTTTTTGTTGTGCAGAGAATAGACGCTGTTATCTGTGGTCCTCTTGTATACATCTTTAACCAGTCGTTATGCGTATATGAGGTACCCTTGCGCTGGAAACATTCCTTCGTAACTCCGCTAATGAAGAAGAGCCATCATGGAACTTTGAGAACTATCGCCCCGTAAGTATTACGTCTCTTTTCTGTCGGCTATTTGAGAAGGTCCTGAAAAAGCTTGTCAGACGTCACTTGTCTATTAATCATATTGTTTCGAGGCACCAGCATGGTTTCACTTCTGGTCTTTCTATTGGAACAAATATGATTAAGTGTCCGGTGCTTTTCAATGTTCTCACGGCTAAGCTTCCCGATATGTTAGTGAAGCAGGCGTCACTCTGAAGGTGTATGCCGACGAGATAAAAATCTAAAAAGCAATCTCAGTAGAGGCAGACTCTCAAGAACTCCAGAGAGCAATTGATCTAAATGTGAGTTGATCGAAGAATTGGCAACTGCCTACCACACAAGGCGGTGTTCATGCACGCTGCTCTCGCGTCTTAAGCTGCACAGCTTTGTACTAGGAAGGAAATGTTGGAAGAGGCACGGGTCCCAAGCTCATCTCTGCGCTGAGCCCGTACCACATCCGTCACACCTATTAATTCTGTTAGGCCGTCTGGAGTGCGTATTGTTGTGGAACCATCGCAGATGTCCTTGACCGGGAAGACCATGTGCTGTGAAGCGTTTCGTTTTCGAAGCGCTTTCCAGAAGAAAGGCTGAGTAAGTAACAGCTCTACGCTTTCCTCGATACTTCTTCACTTGTCTAGCTATGAAGATGGCATTCGTTGTGGACCTGTCAGGCATAACGAACTGCTCCTGTGAGACCAGTCTGAATTCTCAACAGGGTTCTTTTCCGAAAAAAGTTTCTACAATGCTTATAAAACTCGTCCGTCATGGCGTAGCATTACAGCCGAGCATTACTCTACCCTCTTCTCTGGTCGCATATACCAATCAGATTTGATGGTTAGAAGGAGACCAAATCTACCATTTCACAGAAGTCGACATCCTCAACTATCGCAACTTTCCCAAACAAACGTAACTTTGAAAAGAACTGAAATATTGAGTCTTGTAGATGACCCATGTTTGGTCAAATATTATCAACATTGGAGAGCATTGCATTTGGTGAAATATGAGCAACTGAACATACAACCGAAGCACTCACAAGTATGCACAGTGTTAAGTGCTTACAGTGGTCAGAGCCCAGTGAGGTGGAACAAGAATAAAAAAAAACCGCACCTGTCTCCGAATCGACCAGGTGGACACGGTGTGTCACATTTTGTGCCAATGAATCCCGGTGGACATGAACAAGCTCCACTTTGTTTATCGCACAACGCACCGTTGGCACATTCACAAAGCTCTGAGCAGTCATGACCGAATCGGCCTTGGGCGCAACCTGCAATGTTTCCAATTGAGCGTGACTAGAGTATGTTCTGACGACAGTAACCCACCTTTCTTGCAGTCGTCGCCGGAATAACCCGATTTGCAGAAACATTTCCCGGTTATCGGATCACAATTGGCGTTTTCATGGCAATCACATTTGTGGTGGCAACCTTCACCGAATGTCCCTTCCGGACAAAGCTGAATTATAGAAATTAAGAATTAGATAAATCTAGTTGCAATATTCCTAGAAGGCTATGAGTTTTTGAAAATCGCTAGGCAATCATAAGTAGGCACGAATATTAATTTCGGTGGTAGTGGTGACAGTGGCGATATAAATATTTACACTCATATAACTTTACGGTTTATCTATATTATTAACTACGAAGCGGGAATGGCCAGCGCTCTTCAATGTTCGTCCAGGCGGATCTTCAAGGGTTTTGCGGTCTCCCCCACGTACTTCTCTCCATATCCACCGCATTGAATCAGATAGGCGGTGCCTTGAAGCTCGCGGATCTTTTCGGATTTACAGTAGCGACAAGACTGCTCGCGACACCGTTTTTCGTAGATTCGAGAATATGTCAGGAGATTTTCCAGTGTAGGGGGAGGTCGGGAAACAAGTCGAATGGAAACTTATAGCCCGCTGCCTACCCAAACAGCAGCTATTCCAGGCACCGTACACTCAAGCATGAGAAGGAGAACGCTCCATCCTGCGATGTGAGGGTTTTGCATAGATATTTGGCAGGGCCCCTGGAAAGGAAAATCATGGAAGCACGGGAAATATACCGTATCAAGCCGGAAATCAACGCAAAAGAGGAGATGCGTAACCTCCTGAGACTGATTGAATAATCATACTCCGTCGCCTCAGGAGAAGAGCGGTGTCCCATTTCTCTTAAAGTTCCCCACTAATAGGTCCACTCCCCTCTTCCCCAATATTTCCGGTTGGTTTGTTACGATCCGATGTGTTCTATGTAGTAACTGATTATTGACTGATTGTTTGCAACTATGTATTGTAAAGTTAAGATCTGAAGAAGGCATTATATGTTGAAAGCTTACCAATAAAGTGGAGTATCAAGAGCTTCGAAGATACACCATGAAAAACAAGTTCGAATGAAGCTCAGAGATAGCAGCATTTTGAAATAATCAACCGCAGACAAACACGTGATGTGGAGGTATGGAATGGTATCGAAAACCACAGATTTTCAAAAAAACACCGTTGCATTTTTTGATACCAATTCATACCTCGATTTTCAACCTTTAGAAAAATCTGTTGCGTAGCAAGATAAAGCCAGCACTAACCACTTATCCAAGAAAAAAGAGTCATCTTTGTGTAGTGACAGTGCAAACAAGTTCTACTAGCTCATTAAACCTTCTGGTAAACAAAATAATATCAGGGACTACACATCACAAATACAGGTTTCAACATAAGTTATTCGCGCTTTTCAGAGAACCGTAGGTCTGTGTTGAGGGGTATGTGTAGGAAGTGCACAAGGAGCGGTAGAGATAGGGTGCGAGCTTTCTAGAAAAAACTTAGCGGAAGATCGGCTTTTGGGAACAAATGCATGCTTTAAGGTGAGGAAACTAGAACTCTTGACTTAACAATTGTAATTTGAAAACTCAAGCGAGCAAAGTGACCGCTTCCTGCCCCTAGGTGACCATTGTGGTTAAAGTCGAGCAAATTTGTTGCGCAGAAAGCGCGCTTGCAACCCAGGATATGCTAGACGTACAAGGCTGTGCAAGGCTGATATCTGCAACCCCTTGGAAGGAGCAGCGGCAAGTAGACTAACTAATTTAGATTTTTTTTGGGATAATGTAATATGATTTCAGTTTCTAGCACAGGGCTAGGATATTTATGTATTTTCGTGACCAGCACATTCAGATGGATTGCAGAATAACATACCTCTGTACAACCGTGACCGGTGTATCCTTTAGGGCATTGACACTTCCCAGTAATGTGATCACAAGGTTTCTGATTTGGGCAACGGCATGTTTGTGAGCAGTGACGTCCAAAGTAACCCTTCAGGCAAGCTGAATAAAAAAAACTCTCTGCTCCAAATAAGTACCTTTCTGACTGTGTGGGTGTAGACATTACAGATCTCATGGGAGCTGCTCTTCGGTTCCAGTGATACACAAATACTACGGGTCACCTTGAGAATGGGCCCTGGTCCAGTCTTTCGATAATGGCTGTCTGTGGTGAGCTATCTGAGAAGATTTTTCCACTGAACTCCCCCCTCCTTTCATAATATATCCTTCTGTAGAATGTATCAAATAAATAATGCGGTAGCCTGTTGCAGTAGTGTAAGCCGTACGCTTACATGCAATTTGCCCAGCAGCTTCTCAGGTGGGGATTCGATGAAAGGTTTCAATGGAAATGAATAGAAAGTTTCCAAAACCCACGCCTATTGCATTTTCTTCCTCTCCAGCCAGCCTGACACGAGCAATGTCCACTGATCGGATCACATGTGGCTCCATTTTCGCACTCACACACTTCTTCGCAGTTCGCCCCGAAATGTCCAGAAGGGCAAGCAAGCTCACATCTGAAGTACACTGAACTAGAACTCGAACCCTTTTGATCTACATATGTTCTGAGGGTTGACCGTTTCCATTAGAATATCAGCCCGAACTGTCATACCTTTCACCTCTCCAACCAGGTAGACATTCACACTGTCCAGTTGTTCGATTACAGTTTGCGCCATTCTGACAATCGCAACGCATTTCGCAGTTGAGCCCATACTGGCCGAATGGGCATACTAGAAAGAATGGTCCACGATAAGCGAAACGGAAAATACCCAAAAACATGGTCAATAAACTCACAGAACTCGCATGCAGGTCCGGTCCATCCCGCAGCACAAGTGCATTCTCCGTTTTTCGGATTGCAGCCACCATCGTGCATGCAAAGGCAGTGATGAATACAGTTCGCTCCCCAGAGACCTTCAGGGCATTCTGAACACGTACAGCCTGTTGGACGAAGTAATTATTGCAATCCAAAAAAAAANAAAAAAAAATCGAGGGAGTAAAGAAGAAAACAAGAACATGGGGCCACCACTCATGTTTACCACCCCGTCCGGTCATCGTGCGCGGACTTACCCTTAGGGTCTTGGACTCAACAGTATGTTTATACAGTCTCAATTAGTCAATCTGTGAAGTTTAAAGACTAGCGTTTCCTACAGCGCAAAGATGTATTTTCCTCTTCATGACGTGCCTTGCAGGCTCTCTCGCGTGCATAAAAAAATCAGCTTAACGTTTTGCGTGTGGCCTTGGCCGGCAACAATCTCATTAGTTGTCGCACCGGCTGGATGTGTAAACAGTGTAGCTCTAGCCCTCACGGATTTATTCATGAGAGATTTTGAAGGGAAGCGGAAGATAGAATAACTTACAAAGACAAGACAGATTCTAAAGCCCTATGTGTTATACAGTAACCCGAAGACACACTCAAGCGCCTCCAAATACTCATCACATATACGAGGCAACGAAAAGGTAGCTTGGGCAATGCATTCGTTGGGATGCATGGTGGAACGTTGGCGTTACTGTATCTCACGTTCGTGGGATTTTAAAAAATGACTTGCAAAGACTTGCAATGGGAGTCAGGAGCCCGGAATATACTAGCTTGTAACCAAGCTCTCATTTGCAGTAGAGCGCTAGCTTAGGCAGATGAATAAATTGGGGTATGAGGTGGACACCATGATGGTAATAGGGGATGGGAAAAGAAGAGAAAGACTTAGTAGGAGCATGAAATAAGCTCTTTGTGAGAGATGGAGATCCTTCTAGAAGCAAATGTACTATAACAGACAAAGCCAAGTTCACCACAGCGAGTGAAAGATAATGAGAGAAAATCACACAGACTGATAAAGTCTGGTAAGGAATGATAGAGAAAGTCTCGAAAACATTTTTGTGGTGATGATACAACGGTAATTCTGTAAATGATAAAAGTTGCATGATGGAAAAATTGAGAGTATGCGAAGTAAACTGGTGATGGAGGTTGACAACAGTGACAAGCGGTAGAGTTGATTTAGCCCATCGAAAGGACATTGAATCCCAGATACCCACTTAGATCAACCGATCTCTTCATCGCTCAAGGGTGCGCTAATTGAAACCAAATCGGTCTGGTAGGGCGAAAGCGAAGACATCGACTTCTCCGGCATGTTATTCTATAGAACAGTTGACCTTCAAACGCCACCACGATTGTAAAGTGAAGTCGAATGCGTGGAACATCTCAGTTGGTTGGTAAACATCAGAAATCATTATCCTTCATTCTTTTCCCTCGTCAAATCTGATTCATCGACTATTCCAATTTGCTGTTTACTGTGTTTATACTCTTTTTGTCCATGTTTATGACTCTGCTGTAGCCGCCCATCTTAAAGAGCTCTAGGAGTCAGTATTGGAAGCTTAAGCATGTCAAGAGTGAGACAGCCTCTTCAATAAAGCACTTTTCAAGAAACATTTGTTCAAAGATCGACAATTGCAAACCTGTCTCGCAGTTTTTCCCCATGAATCCAGCAGGGCAGTCACAAAACCCAGTGAGACGATCGCATGTCGCACCGTTCGCGCACTCACATTCACTGCTACAGCCAGATCCCCATCTGAACAATTTTTATTAGGCAATACCTTTTCTTGATAGTAGTAGTATAAGAAACATTCTCCACTAATCGTCACAGTCGGGAACAGAACATGAATCTTACCTGCCAGGAGGACATGGCGTAGCGCAATCCGGCCCAGTCCATCCCGGAGGACAACGACAGTCTCCCGTGATATGATCGCATCGCGCCACAAACGGGTTGTATAGGGTAGTATCATCTATAGAAGAGAAGTGTAGAAGAGAAAAAATGCTTTCATAAAGAAAAATGTTTTTTAGATCATACTTGTAGTAGCGCAATCACAAATGAAACGACATTGATCACCATAGCGTCCATCAGGACACGGCCGGTCGCACCTGGGAAGGATGCTGCATTCGATTTTAGTTGTTTTTTGGTACTACCATATGTTTATTCAAATGACTGCTCATGTTGATGACATCACTCAAGCTACTCTCAGGCGAACGATCGCTGGTCGCTGGTGTTCGCTAAACTAGCTGAATCTCTCCTCATGTATGGTGCGACGGCCCCGATCAATCCTTCGAGCGTGATGGCAACTGCTCGTAATAAAGCTCTGTTACAAAAAACGAGCCATGAAGGACGCGCTATTCGAAAAGGAAACCAGAAAATGGGAGCAGATACCAAGAAAGGTCTGCCACGACTTATATTCTTATGGCAACTCTCGTTCACTTCTGAGCTATCATCTGTTCACCGCATATGATGAGTGACACAATTCTTTCGAGTTCATCCATAATACCACTGCCCACCGCCATCCGCTCAGCCCTCCCGGGCTCCACTTCAACAGCTTCAAATCGTTGTAACAAAACGATGCAAAGATACTCATGAAGGGTGACCCTCCGCGCAACAGTATCTCTTCAATATCTATAACTCGCTGACTTATGATCACTAGAAACTCGACTAGTCAACAACAATTGTCCTTATTTTGGATGATTTAGGCATGTAATTATAACATACCGTTTTCCGCGCCAGCCAGGTGTGCAAGTGCAAGCACCAGAAACAGGGTCACAGGCGGCGCCGTTGGCGCAAGCACAAACTCCTCTACAGCCTGCGCCGAAATGTCCAATCTCGCAATCTGAATTTAAGGCCTTCTTCACCGTTCTGCAAAATGAATAAAAAATGAAAAATTGTGATGTGGCCACAAGATTGGAGAATCCGTTGATTTCTATGGATTTTCAAGTCGAAAGAGTTTTCCACCTTAATGACCTGCGACAAGGCCATAGAAAATTGTAAGTTGTGCAGCAAATAAGAAAACAGTAGGAAGTCTCTCACAGCGGATAGTCAAGACCAGGCTTTCCACCTGAAAAACCACAAGCGACTCTCGCACAAATCAATGGCGGAAAATGGATGTCGGAGAGCAACTTTTTCTAGATATGATGAAGGATTCACAGTTGGTAATGCATACCTCTATTGGACAACACTTATCATGAAGCTTGAATCGCGCCCACGAGGCTGTTTAAAACCACGAATATTTGGTGAAAAAGTGTTAATGCCAGTAAATAGGAGTGCCGAAAACACAAAAACACCTCATGAAACTCCTACAGTGCAAGAGCACGCTTCAGGCAAGAAGTGTTCACTCAGATATTTTTTACTGCTTCGTGCAACGGCATCGAGACAGAAAGATATCTCAAGGAGCAGGTAGTAGCACAATACTTGGACGGAAAACCAAGCGGTTGGTCAGATATAGCTCTAAAAAAGCTTTCGAGGTAGGCGTGGCGTGCACCAAAATGGGCGGTATGCGAAAATTTGAAAGAAATGATTTCAATAATGAAGATAATTGAAGAATGTGAAGTATAGCATCATATTCCTTAAACTTCGAAACTACTAACGCAAACTCGTGTCCATAAACATGTATGATAAAACTTATACTTACAAGATTCAGGACATGAAGATTGTTAATAAATAAAACCACTGGGTGCCTGCGATATACCGCAAGGAGTTATGAACCACGCACTGGAACGAGGATCAAGGACCCAGGGACCCCCTGGCTTACCCCACCACCCGCTCCCGTGTCCTTGCGCAAAGCCCCTTTTCGACGCGTCGTATATGTGACGGGTAAAAATTTGCGTTTTAACACGTGCCGGATTACTATAAGAGCCGAGTGCTGGACTGAATTTTCGTTCCTGTTAAACCACGCTCAGAGGTCAAAAAAGCCTGCTATGTGAAACATATTTCAACCCTACAGAGAAGCAATGTGGTGTCCTAATGTCAGCAGTAAGTTGGTTCATCTAAACTGTTGGTGTTGCCGCTGTTTAACCGTGCTACAGAAGAATTGATTAAATACCTTAAATAAAAGCGGAGATGCAGATATCATAGTTTATTGGCAAGGAGTGAATCCTATGAGTTTTTGGCTTCTTTTGATTTTGCAGGTAAATGAAAAACTTCGAAGTAGGAACGAGGTGAATTGTGTGCTTGGAGACGTCCTCAGGTATTGAAATAGGGTAGAAGGTAAGAGTGCGGGATAACGAATTGAACGGATCAGACTACCATGACGAAAACCCACTCATGATAAGTATTAGGTTGATGCATAATTATTGCGGATTTTTTCGCGGCTTTTTTTCTCTCGATAGAATTTGAATATTGAGTTCGGTTTTTTTCTAGAAATGATCTACTTGATTTCCTCTACAAGAATATACTCAAGAAACCATCCGCATAGTTGCGAAATTAGGCCTAACTACTTCGAGAAAGATTGGAAGGTGGCACAGTCATTCCGCGATCTCAGTAACTTTTCGGCGATCGAACAATCAGCCAAAGCCAACCAAGAACTGGGATCTGCTCCTGAATCTGCCATATTCACCAGCAGAAACTTCTATGGATTATCCCGTCGACCGCTCGCTGAAAAAATGGCTAGAGAGTAGAAGTTACTTGGATTTGGATGACTCGATGGCCGATGTCAAGGCGTGGATCGCCCGTAAGAATCAAAGCTTCTTCGCTTTTGGGATCCGACTAACTAATCAATGGGAAGCAGTGCTTGACGTAGATGGTGAATAAGTTCCGGAGTAGTTATTTGAATATGTCTTTGCTTAGTTTTTCCATAGTTTCTTTAAGTAAAACTTGCTGGAAAGAATCCGCAGTAATTATGCATCAACCTAATAATTGCCTGATGAATTACAAATTGCGCCGTGCTCGTATCCCTTACACTACCGAGACCCCGCTTTCCCTCGCCTTCTTAATGGCTTATATGCCATAGCACGCACACGCACAACGTGTTGAGCCGGTCGGCCGAAATCAGCACTGAACCGTTAAGCTGTAAGCTCTACACGATAGAACTTGCTTTAACTTGTTGTTTTGTTTACTGCTGTTTTATCGCCGTAGTATGCGATGCGAAAGTCCAACAAGGATGGCGATTTATGGACAAAACCATAAATCTTGACATAAGACTAAAGTTTTGCCCATAAATCGTCAACCTTGTGAATCAGTCTCACTTAATTTACAAAAATCATCTGAACCAGCAATAAATCAAAAGTAAGTCAACAAACAGATTCAAGAAACATCAGGAGGTACCGCTCATTTAACCGGCCACCCATCGCTACCTTGCTGTAGCTTAGCTCACGCTATATACCTACCTTGTTCACACTTGGCTCCTCTTTTCCCAGGAGGACAGATACATTCGCCATCAGATGGATCGCAATGCATACCATTAGCACAATCGCAGCGTTGTAAGCAGTCCTGCAACAAAACATCCTATTAATTCGAAAGAGTTCACATGAAGAAATGATTGCATTGTCCCCGTAGTATAGACTCGCTAGATGTGCAATCCATTTTTTTAGGATTTTTTTCATATCGAGGCATGTAATGTGCCTCCTTCAGCATGAATCATCGCTTGGGAAAAGCACGTAACTGCTTTCTTAGATGAATCACTCAACACATTCCAGCTTCGGGTCACGAGGTGAGCAGCTTTAATCATTAAGATATACAAGAAAATGAGGTACACGACGTATTGGAGGGAGAGCGTGATCGAGATTAAAGGAAGGGGCCAGCCATAATAGTTCAAGGGCTTCCGTCAAAAGTAAGGTAGAAAGGATAGCAAGAATAGTAAGAAAACCCATTCTTGTCACGGTATTGCTGACCATCATTAGAAAATTAGCGGAAGTAGTGTGCTTTCCACGTTTTATGGTCGCCTTGCGCCCTATTATTCTGGCACTTCGTCGACGGCCATAGACATGGATAGAATAAACTTTGAACCCGGGCCGAGCTCATCAACCATGTTGCGCGTAATCGCGCGCTGTGATGGAAAGGAGTTAAGTCCCCGGTGGAAGATTACGTTAAAGTAAATCTTGGACTGTTTTCCACGGAGAAATTGCGGACCAAAATATGCTGCTAGGAAAAATAGGGGGCCTAATGAGTCACACTTGGTTAAGACGCGGTGCAGGTAAGTATGGACATCGCCCAAAATGGTCTCTTACCACCCTCACCATTTTCTAACTTATTCAGAAAAAATAGTTTGTATGGAACATTCTACCTTTCCATGAAATCCTGGTTCACAAGACTTCTCGCAATTGTCTCCTGTCCAACCGGGGCGACATTCACATTTTCCGTCTGTAGGGCTACAAATGGCCCCATTTTGACAGTCGCATAGTTTCATACAATCTATGCCATGTCGACCGGCTGGGCATACTGAAATACCATTACATTAGACACAGATACTGAGAAAGTTGCTTCGATGTTGGAGCGTTACTAGCTCGTATGAATCAAAATGAAGTCTGAGTGACTACAGTGTGAGTTTAGAGAGAACAGAAACTGTCTCTATGGATCATGACATGTTATTTGAGCCCCCCCCCCCCCCCCCTTCATTGGCCTCCTTGCGAATGGTGCAGCCTCTAAAATGCTGGTGAAAAGCGTTTGAGGATACTCACGGTACATGACGGCGCCACATGTGGGAGCCACAAATTCATTCTATCATTTTTATCGTGAACTGTGCCTTAGTTTTAACGGTTTTCGACGCCGTTACGAGGCAAGCAAAAAAAGCAAGCAGAGAATGCAACAGCAAATGCCAAACCTTCACTGCAGCTTGCTCCATAAAATCCTGGCGGGCAGATGCATGAACCATCTTTTGCGTTACACTCAGCTCCGTTTTGACATACGCACTCATGGATGCAATTTGGACCATAAAGGCCAGCCGGACATGCTGAAAATGATCGGACTGCTAACATATACAAGCCTTTCATCAAATACAGTACCACTACATATTCATCAGTTTTAATCAATAAATCGAGAGAACTTTACCACACTGTAGCAGTTAGATCCTAATTGATGCTATATCTGAGGCAAACATACTGTGACACGTACATGACCAACGAGCACTCACGTATATCACACATCACGCCGGTGCGTCCAGGTAGGCATGAGCAGGTGCCGGTGACATGATGACATGCCTTTGGTTGGCCTGGCTCCGAACAATCGCATCGTTGTTCGCAGTCGTAACCGTATGTACCAGGTGAACACACTGTAAGAGTACGAGTGCAACACTATGGCTGGTATCCATCAAGGACCCGCCAGAACACAACTAATCAGTAGCTACATGGATCCATTCTTGTTTCACATCACAGAGTGCTCACTTACAGTTCCGGTGAATAAGAGGAAAGTAAACGAATCAACGCACTGACCAATATTCACATTACACAGCCTTCGTCTATCGAGGTGTGAAAGTGACAAAAGGCTACTTCTGGTTAATAATTTGTAGATTTATTTCTGATGATAACAATATTAAATAGGAGCAGAGTTCAAGGAGTTGCAGAGTCTCACTTATTCCTTTTTGCCAAACCTCTACCTCCTTATAAATCACACTTACACGAAAACCGAAAACACGTTGCCCCCCTCCCCCCTCCTTCTTCAGTCCGCATCTCCGAAAGATAATGTTGGAAAATAATGGCTTTGGTCATGGAGTGCCGTCCGTCGAACAGGCGGCTCAATTTGTCGTTTCAACGTTCGGTAGCGACAATTTTGTCTTACTGTCGCTTTAGAGAAAAGATCAATGAATTTCGCGTATTATTGGATGAAGATGCAATAGGTAGGTAACAATAACAGAAATAGGCTCCCGTCTTTTGCTGTCTCGAACACTCACATTGTGCAGATTGCGCGATCTCCTGATCAGGAAGCATATACATACCATGGGAACACTTTTGAACAACCTCCTAATGTTCTAAATAAGCAGCGTAAGGCAGAACAACTAGGCTATGTTTCACCTGGGTCCCCTGAATGTATCTAAACTCCAGTGCAATACATATACACAAACAATCTAGAATTCACACCAATTTGTACGCGTAAAGTGTTTGTTACATATAGCGATATGGCGATTGGGTTTCATTTATAGAAAATAATCTGGCAGCGACATCGAAACCAAATGACCTAAGAGCAAGGCTCTGGAATGAAGGTTGATAAATTCTAAAGTAAGATACGAAAACAGTGAGAATAGTGCAATTATCCGAGAGCTGTAGGTGAGCTGATTCCTAGGTTTACCAGAACGGCCCCTTTTTTCTACACAAGAACGTTCCAGTTCAAAGATGGGAGGAATGCTCCATCACCATCCACACGACGCCATCACTCAGGTTGCGTGCCTATCTTCTCCCTCGAGAAGGGCGGGACGGTATTTTAGTCGTCGGTACCTTTCGTACTTGTGCACCGTCTCAAACATTTTTCCATCTCAGGATGGCTGAAGAGCTACTGGACAAAAGGAGCGGGATCAGGGCAGTAGGGAGCGTAGAGAGCCACCACCCACTCTTACTTCTCCAGCTCGGCCTGGGTCGCCGTTGTATATAGTGTAATGTTTGCACTGTCGTGATAGAAACGGATCTAAGCATTTTGTCTGCGAGTACGATCGACGTAGTCGTCAGTGGCCTGCCCTTTTCTAGCAGCTTCCAGTGCTCCGTCGCTTTTCTGGACCATCAAGAAGACAAGGGAACATACTTGGGTAAAAGTGAGCTTCTGGGACGATTTCAGGGCTGAGACGGGTCCAGGCTATTCTCCTTTACAACCCAAAGCCTCTTACTCTCAGGATTTCCATAGGGAACAACTTACCATTCTCACTGATCATCGAATCCAGGCAGCGGTGCTTCTTTTGGAGGTGAGGAAAGAAGCGCAGACGACTTTTTTCTCTGACAGGTAATAAACTATGATTTTGTCGTACTGCGGCCTGCCAATGGTGAGCAGTAGCGATTGTGATGATAGAGTATTATGCATACGCACTCGCACCCTTGATGAAGAAATGCCAATAATAAATACGAAATAGGAGAAGGATCAAAGAGTAGTGAGAAACTATGTATCAACTCAGTAATACGAGTAACAGTGATCCCCTTAATAGCATCCGCTTTGCAGGAAGCAGAATTAAAATCAGAAGAAATAGAGTTTAGAGAGTACGAATATTCGCCAATTAATGCAGAGGAGACAGTTCTCATGAATCCTTTGACGACAATGGCACCCACCGGTAGGTGGCACTAATGCTGGCGCATGGTACATTGGCACATTGAGAGCCACCATACTTTCGTATTTCTTACCAATTGCTAAATTCAGTAAGCCAGTGAAAGAATTTTCTACTGGGACAGTACCACCCACCTGTGGGTGTCAGTCGCGCGCGAAAGGAGGGGAACGTGATCCCATAGGTGCGTCACGTCGAATTCCGAACTGTCGTCAAAGGGCTAACCGTTGTGCAGTCGTGTCATGGACTACTGCATTAACGTTAGATTAAAAGAGTCGGAAGAGACGCTGAATGTTGCTTACATGTGCTCGGTGAGGTTCTGTGCATACAACAGTGAACGTCACGACCCCATCTGCATAATCAAATGAAAGAAACTAAATGTTGAGATCTCGGCAAACCGTGTATCTTGTGGATTTGATTACAGAGGTAATGATCTTGATTGGAAGAAACACCTATTGTATCAAAATGAGAGATTGGTGCATAAATGCAACTATACTAAAAAAGGTGCTCTAACCTTCTGCACACCCCTCTCCTTTGTATCCTGGAGGGCATCTCTTTACGCAATCACCCGTAACAGCATCGCATCGCAGATCTCCTGAGCACTGACATTTCTTGGCACAACTTGGCCCGTAGAAACCGATGGGGCATCGCCGTTTGCATAGCGGCCCATAGAAACCCGCTCTACATAAGCATTTACCGGTCTGAAAATTCTTAGAGTAGGTGAAGTGAAAATAGGCATACCAAGAATTTTTTAAATATTGGGAAAAAGGGGCGATAAAGGGAAAATCCTTGAATCTGATTCTTGTTGAAAACCATTATATTTCTAATGGACATCTCAAAGCGCAGTTTACGTTCAAAATGGTTGTTGAAATTTGTTTTCAGTATGAAGCTGTAACCCATATGGATAGCCTAGGGGATGCTGTCGGTTCAAAAAACGGCCTAGACACGGGGCAATGAGGGCTCGAAATCGGCTTCGCCGACGTACACACCCAAAGGTGGACGAATCACTATGGTAGTGTGGAGTCTGTGGACGTTGTACCCTTCGCACCGGGACGCATACGTTGGCTGCTTACTGTAGCCAGTTGTGCAATGGCACACACGCACATTTACACAGCCCTTCCATGCAACTTTTGTCGTCTTTTTCTCGTCCAACCTCTGATTTCACAAACTCTTTGAAGCCTTATTGCTTCTCGAAATTCGCCTACCGCTCGTTTCTTGGTGGCTGCTTTGGTACTGTTCTGGACTATCATTTCTATTAAATGTGTTAGATTCAATGTCTCAAAATTCTCGAGGACTGTGTCTTCAATTGGATAAGATTGTCATTTAGAGTGAATTCGAGTAGCAGAATTGAATGCACATCCAGAAAGTTTTATAGAAAGTTCAAAGAAAGCAACTAAACATACCTTGCTGTCACAGCCTTCACTATTTTCTCGCGAACATTTGCACGTATGGCGACAGTTTCTTCCGAACGCAAAGCTGGGACAAGGCCTTAAGGTATTTGATCTTATTGAAACGGATTTTTGACGTAGAAGTATACTGTAACATTTAGAGAAAAGTGCCACGAGCGTACAGAAAGATTCCTAAAACGCAAGTATGCCGCTGCAAGCCTATTCTTTGCAAATTACTCCAAATCACCAAGTACATGTAGCTAGAATCACTACAGACCCCTAGCCGAGCATACTTCTGCTCTTAAGTCATGATATGTACTGAAAAAATGTTATTTAATTTTTTTAGGATCACTTCAACCGGTAACTTCCATTCTCTCTACCATAAGGTTAAGCTGGAATGTAAGTACCGGTGAAATCGTTTGCTCACCATGGGCTACACACTACTAGCTTGCTTCGAGATCTACTCTTTTCAGTACCAATAACAAATAACAACACAACATTCTCAATCGCAAAATCTTTTAAGTGGAATTGTTGGGGCAATAAGTCGGGCACCACAACTTGACAGAAGAAGGAGCACAACTAAACATAAATAGCAACACGGCTAACACTCAAAATGAGTCGACAGCTGAGCTACGACTATACCATCTCAATCTGTTGCTATTAATCTACAGTAACTAACAACCCTTGAATAAAATCACTTTCTTCTTTCAGTTCCACAGCAGTGTGTGATTTTTGCATTGAGTACCGTTAGCCAGCCAAAGCGTTGAGCTGTACTTAACTGATAACCATCAATAGAAGAAGTCATGCGTGGCTCCCCTTGTCTTCACGAGTGCAAATCACTAATATTCCCTCGAACATGGGAGTTCTCACAAGTGAGATGGAATAAAAAACGTGAACACCATCTACCTAACATGTTTATGCCATCACGTCGACGAAGAATTTTACGGCGCACGGTCACATAGGATCAAACCGGAACATCTGATGAGCCTTCCGAAATCACCGCCAAAACATTGCCAGACTCTACACGCGACACCTGTCGTAATCTAAAGTTCCAAGTGGTAAACTAGCAAAACTGTTTCCTGCGTAAAAAAGGAGAGGGCAATTTCGACAACTATAGTTCAAGCTTCCTGTTGTCTGTTACCTATAAGCTTCGATAGTTCTGTCAGAAAACTAGGTGGAGGACGTCTGTGCGACCAAGCAGGTTCTGGAAGAAGGTTTGGTGCAATCGACCGCATTGGCACTGTCACATCTCAACCATATTCGAGCCTTTACAGCCTGTTCCACGGACAATGGGATCGTCAGCAGCTAGATTGCTTCCAAAATATCGAAAGCCCTGCACTTTTTCGATGCCTTCCCAAGACATCGAAAAATGGATCTGCGCAGTCCCCGAGCTGCCAAAATTGGTCACATTCCTCCCCATTATCCTCTGAAACCTCTGAAATTTGTGCAGTATAACTTCGTTGACCTATCATACATTTCCTCCATCGGGGAGATCAGGCGTTTGGGAACGGACCCTTTTGCCCCTTCTTCAGCTTCGTCAGGGTGACAAAGTCTACGCCTTTTTCGATACCTCTGCATCACTTGTTCATGAAGATAACATTTGTTGTAAACATTTCTGGCATGAAGCCAAGCAGGTTACCGTGTTAGATCAGTGTGAGTTCTCACAATATTGAGTCAACTAACAGCTCACATGCTTTTATCGTGTGAGAAGACAATCTGACCCCTCGATAGTTGGAACACTCCATTACATCTCTCTTATACCTGAAATGTGACTGTTCTCAGGTGCCTTCATTGCCTCGATAATTTCCCTTGTGAACAATTGAGCATGGAGTTGCCTTCCCAGCCTTCATCTCCCATACTCCCACTCCGTCGAAAGCGACGGAACCACCCGTCGCCACATCACGGGGAACTTTTATTCAGAAGTCTGTCGAAGTATTCTTATCACCTGCGCCTGATCTCTACAAGCTTCCTCAGGATTGCTACAACGCTTCCTTTACAGCCCTTAACACTCCGCTGTTCAAACTAGTTCGGGGCTGCCCCTTATCCAGAAGGTAGGCAGACTTCTCTTCTCCTCGATCACCAAGCTTTTCGTACGAGGACTCTATTACCGTATTTTTTACCTTCTCTATGGCAGCCTTGGCGAGCCCCTTGCAAATCGCGAATGCAGGCAAGTCTTCGGAAAGTTCCGGAAACATATCCAATGAGAAGGCGCGGAATAGATGTTTGACTGTGAAATCATAACTCTTGTTAACGTGGATCTAGAGTGTTCTTGGCAGGAGTACAAGCTTCTGGACGAGAAGTACCGGAGTGGGTGGCAAAGCTAGACTCCGTCCACAGGTGGCGGAACGTGGGAAACATTTGATTTGGGTCTAGGGCTTTCAAATTCGGTAGGAGCAAGTGTGGCAGTATGGGAACACTGAAGGTATGCGACATCCATGTCCTAATTCTGCCGCGGGGGCGGAGAGGAGATGCAGAATGCGAAGCATACGTAAGTTAAGTTTGCTATTCAAGCCAAGTTGAAAAAAGAGGGAAATGGACCAACTTATTTGAACACACACGAGTTGAGCAGAACTCCGTTCGTGAAGGGTGAAGCGCACACGAAATATGTCGGATCCGTGCATGCGTATTTGGAGGGGAACTTTTAAACCTTTTCTACTGCATCAGAGCGTCCAAGTTAGGAAAGGATGTCGGCGACGGGCCAAACGAAAAGTAGAGTATCGTCACTTCGCGCGTCAACTTCGTTTTGATGGGCGGCGAAGGAAAGGGCTCTCATATTGATTGATTCTGCTTGAAGACACCGTTCACAAAAAAGTTAGGGTACCCTTTTTGACGGGAATTGATAAAACTACTCTAGAATAAAGCGATAACAACGAAAAAAGCGCAAAAAACGATGAACAAAAAGAATTACAAAGGGTCAAAAAAGGAGCTGGAAAGGGGGGTTGGACTAGTCTCACATTGAAATAACGGCAGTTAGGGAGTGTTCGGGCGCGAATGCACGAAGGCGACGCAATGTCTGCAATACAGACAACACACCCAAACAGCTGATCGGATTCCTCCCTGCTATTATTATCTCCCTGAAATACTTACCTCATCCATTCGACGACGGCAGGCAGGGAATACTTAGAAGAGAATAGCGCAGAATAATAATAGAATAATAGAAATAACAGCTGAATACTAGCTCCTGTACGAGGCGGTCGACCAGCTGACCATTCCTGGCAATTTGCCAATCAGCGTATCGATTTTTCACCAACTTCGCTCCAGTGCGAATGTGGTGAAGGACAATTTGAACTCGTAGTCAGCCTAGCGAGGGGCGGAGGCCTGACGTCCCCCACTGTTCCTGCCCT